TATGAAAATAGAAATATTTGCTCTGATTCGGGAGTATACATTAAAACCTGCTCGCCTCGGTGTGTATATATGTACTATTAAAAATAACTCGCATAACAGACAGACTACAGACAGCGTAATTCTTGCCAGCTTTCGCGTATCGGCATCGGTTATGTCTCCGTTAATTCCTAAACTATTAAACACGAAAACTAACCAAACGAAGCAAACGAACAAAAAAAAAGAAGAAAACAGCAACAAGTAAGATTAACTAATTAACGAAACGTGAATCTCGCAAGAGCACGAAACGAACTGGACGAAATACGACAAAGCGGGGAGAGAGAGATACGAGGAAAGGGAAACTTGTTAATAATTGTTGATGCAACGATTTAAATAAATAAATTAAAACAAAAAAAAAATGATAATAATGAGCACCGTACGATGCCTTCCGTGAACGACCGAGCTTGCCTAGTTACCGAGATATAACATAGAAAATTCAATGACGATGACGATGATTATTCGATCTCGTCGAAAGTAACGTCGTTATTCCCGCGATGTTTCTCGCATTCGTCGCGTCGATCGTTTCCCTCTAACAAACCGGACAATAAGTAAATAAACGTGGAGCTGTCGAACGAAACAGTCATATATACATATACACATATATATGAACATATACATATGTATATATATATATGAACAGCCAAGTCATTGTACAACTCTTTAATACTGACGTATAGTAATTAAATTAATATAACAGATTGTGATTTTGTCGTTTTGCATGACGAGAGGCACGCGGGTAATAATTAAAATAAAACGTTCGCTTTAATATGTACTCGACGAACACTGGTGGTTGCGCCATCGAGCTTTCCATGATTACGTTACATGAGCACCGGAGTCGTGCGTGCGTGCGTGCGTGCGTGCGTGCATGCCACAAGCTAGTATGTATGCGTGTAATAATGCGTGCATGAGCAACCAGGAAAATACTCGGGGAGGGAGAGAGGATACGGCAGGACAATAATAAACACCGTTTCATTCATTCATTTTCTTTACCTAGATATTAGACAGCGTAAGCATTAAACTACAATAGTATCTAATGTGTACATCGTAAGTGTGGAAAAAATATTAAGAAGGGAAATGATGAATAATTAAATTTGCTAAATCGCGTCGCGTACACGCGGCCGCGGCGCATGTATTGTACATAAGTAAAATACACTCGTAAGGTTACATTTAGTCGCCAGGAATAGCGATGCGGATGTTATTGTAACAGCGGAGCGTAATAGAGATACTTTGCGAGGGGGCGAAGAGGTGAAAGAGGTGAAAACCGGATGGTTCCAGCCGCGCAGTACGCGCTACGCCTTCTCCGGATAAAATAGGGAACTAAAAAGAGATTGCCAAGCAACTCTACGGCCGGTATTCAAAATCGTTACTTATATTTAAAATCGTCTTCAGCATTTGCTCTCCCTGTCTATCCCATGTTTCCAATCTCTGTCTTGTGGGACTTAAGCAAATGCTTAAGGTGATCTTAAATATGAATCACGACTCTGAACACCGGCCTATAAGTTTTTAGTTTAAAGTATTTTACCTAAAATCTGCGCTGTGTTTCATTTTAAAGGTGATTTTTAAGAAACGAGATCAGTTCGTGCGTTTGAATTGAAACTGACGTCGCTTTCCGGGGAAGTATATTCTTGTAATTAGATCGCTGATAAATGTGACGAAACTATTTTATCCTAACGAGGACGATCTCTTTCAAAAAGTTCGATCGTTGACAATGGGCATTCGATGTAGAGGAATAAATAAATAAATAAATAAATATAAATGGAAATGATTGGAAACGTCGCGCGTACTGCCCGGTGAACTTTCGAAGCGCGAATCGAAACGGATTCGGCTGGAACGGAAGCGGAGCCGAGCCTGTTACACATACTACGGAAAGGAGCAGCAAAGAAATGAAATTAAAAGAAAAAATAAATAAATAAATAAATAAATGTATTGTGACGAAGTTCCATCCATAAATAAAATAAATGAAAATATTATACAGTTAGGCCGACTTTTCCGCCAGTTCGTGCCTTTTTTCTGCAGGGAGAGAGAATGCAGTTTTGGAATCGATCTGAATGATGTATGCTATTGATGTACCGCCTAATTAAATAGAGAAAGATGATGCGCGACGGAAAGGAAAGGGTCAGAATAATAAAAGGGGCAACGTGTAACGTCGTCGACTTAAATCCTTAAATGGCGACAGGGACGGACGGGAGGGGACGGGTAATAAAGCAGTTAATTGCATGGATAAGTTGGTACGTAATAACGAAGCGTGTCCTGTAATGCATTATTCCCGAAGGAGTATTACCGAACTCGCCGATTAGACGATAGATAATGAAGGCGATGATGAAACAACGGAGAGAAAAAGAGGTGCGAGATAAGGTTGAAGCCGAATGACACGAGTGAAGGGAGAGAATGCTGAAGGAAAAATGTACGAGTGAGTGAAGAAGTGAATGAAAGGGAGAGAAAGTGAATGTAAGAGAGAGAGAATTCTAGCAATTGTTGAACGTTCATTAAATTGTCCTCGTTTCACGATGTAATAAAGGCTATTTTACTTTGATATCGATGTTAATTACCTCCCCACCCGTAATATAGGACAGAGAAATAAAATGTTAAACGTTTGACGATATCTATTTTTATTGACAAAATTTATACAATTCTCTTCACAATTAAATAACAGATTTAAAATTATTGTGTACTGTACACGGACGAACATATGGTTTCAATTTAAAGAGAGCTTCAGGCATTGTATATCTACAGCATCCCCTTTATACCTGTTCAGCTGACTCAATAAATGTAACTTCGGTTGTTTGCAATGAGTCGTATGCAGTTCGTACGCAGTACATATGTTCAGTAATACAGGTTCTTGTAAACTCTTTATTGGATCTCTCGCGATCATGTTTTCGTACAATTGCACCGCCGTTTTTAACTGGCCCGTGTACAGGAGGCAAACAGCCATATTATTAATTAACGCGACGTTCGAAGGGTCCAAAACTTCTGCAGCTTGGAAACATTTGTACGCCGCCTGGAACGAATTGTGAGCAACTGCCAGCAATCCTGTGTCCATTAATTCTCTGACAGTAGGACCGCTAGTAGTCTTCTTATTCGAACTAATCAGGTATTTTTCCGCCGTTGCAACATCGCCTAAAAATAAGTGCAGTCTACCTATGCTAGCTTTCAATGCGTCCAATTGTTCAGGCGTCCAATCAGTGGACTGACATAATTTCTCCAAAATGTCTATACCAAGTACATAATTCTTCGTACTGACTGCACAGTTAGCGATAGATATAAGTACTCTAGATCTCCTGCCCTTCCATAATCTTAAAGCATCCTCTTGTTCCACGGGATTGATCTTGACTCGAGATCCATCTCCATTGAACCCACCACTGAAATTGGCTATTATTTGATTCACTGTCGTTAGAACCTTATAAAGATTATCTAACGCCTGTTTAGGCTTCCCACAGTACATTGGAACCTCTGCCAGAAGTAGTCTGAATGAGAAAGAAGCCATAGAACCTGGCCTGGTGCCATAAAGTTCTGGATAAAACGTAAAATACATATCTGGCTTATCTAGATTACCAAATGGTTTTGACTCATTTTCTAAGATATCAATTTGCCTGAGCTTAGTCAACAGAGCTAGTCTTGTATACCACAACTGCAACGAATGCGGCGAGTGTTTACTAGGTTGATTTATTTTTCCGTATCCTTGGGCGTATACCGCTAACAATCGCCCTGATAAATTAATCGCTGCTTTGTAACAACCAGCCTGTATCAATTGTCTCAAGCCACGTTCGTCCTGTGTCACATCAGAAGCAGTGAGTACTTTCCTTTGCATATTTTCACCTTCTCCTAAGAAACGCGCTGCGGCATTCTTTATCAAATTAGGCATGTCTCCCTGAACCGCGAGTCCAGGCATCGTTAGATTCTCTCTATCAAGGAAATTGGTCCCGGCAGTTGACGTGGCCACGTTACGCAGAATTTTCCTCGTCTGATCAGAAGGTATCCAAACGTCTCTGTGCCCGTCGTTCGTGCCACCGTGCTCGGGGCGTTCGCTGCCAAGCAAGGAACTGCTCTTTAGAAATTCGCTCGTCTGATCCGTCATTAATTCGAAATCCGGGATTCTGCTCCCGGTGCTTCTTTGCACGTCGAAGAAATCGTCTTTTTTAGGCGAGACGATCTCGTCGAAAATCGTGCGCGATGCATTCTCAAAATATCGGCTAATATCCGTCTCCTTGCTAACCTCATCGACGGTCTCTGATTTCTGAGTCTCGTTACCCTCGGCCATTCTGCGTTTAACTTTAATTGCACTTGAAATCCACGTAACTTATTTGTTTATAAAATCTCGTAAACATTTAACTGGATGGATACTTGTGTAGACATCATCTGTCAAAATCAGATGGACACATGCTGTTCTCGAACGTAACTGATCACCGAGAGATGCCAGTGTCATCTTAATCAAACACTCGGCCGTGCTTCAGCTTATCAACAATTAAATGATAATTGTTCGAAAAATCGGCAGTACGAAATAGACGATCTTCATTTTATCCTCCAACTTTGCATTTGGCCGAGATAAAAGTTTGCATTTCAGTTAAACCAAGAAAGTGTGCGTATGTATTCACACGTGGAATGCAAATCGCTATTTAATAGCTATTTATAGAGAATTTATATATATTGTTTGTATAAACGTACCACGTTCAGTTTAATTAAGACCCAATGGAAATCAGAACTCGAACAGCAATTTTATTGAACGATAACTGTAATGCTTGTCGTGTTTGTCTCACGACGAATCGGAATAACCAATATATTTTTGGAGCTAAACAACATGACACGATCGATGTGCCTGAAAAACTTCGCCTGTGCTGCGGTGTGGAGGTCAGTTTAATTCCCAACATTTATTTCTCTCGATTTATCTCCTACTACAATTTTAAGTACAATTTGTACTTGAGTAGGTGCAGGAGAATGATGGTTTACCTTCCACTATTTGTACTAAATGTATATCAAAAGTTAACGATGCCCATGAATTGAGGAAGAAATGCCAACAATCTGATATCCGTTTGAGAGAATTATATGGGAAAGCATATAATACCAATCCTCAGAAGACCATGAAAGTAAGTATAGCAAACATAAATATGACCACAGAAGAGATATGTCCACATAACAACTATTACTTTCCTTTACCAGGATCAGTATTGTCAAACCGACCATTCCTTCGATTCTAATATAATTAAAGTAAACGATACATTTCCTAATTACGAACCTTCACCAATGGTTTTGAAAGATACAGAGAAATGTGATGCAATTAATGAAACTAAATGTATAATAGAAGAGGGATTTAATATTGCTTCGAGCAAACAAAATATTTATGTTAAGTGTAAGGAACCTCAGTATAAGAAAAATGTAGCTAGAGAAGCTTATAGAACAAGGAGGATGACAATGTTCAAGAGAATGACGTCCATAGAAAATTTAAGAAATTATAAGGAGAGGCAGAGAAAGTATATAAAGAAGAATGCAAAACGGGATGGCAATTTAGGAGATGTGAAAAAGTCAGATTCTCAGACTTCTTACATTTGTCCAAAGTGCTCGAGGTGTTATTCCAGTAAGAGGTCTTTCGACAGGCATGTATCGACGCATGATGGGAAAAGCTTCACGTGTGACGAGTGTGGCAAATATTTTGTCCAGCTCAAAGAATTGATAGAACACAATAAATTGCACGTGGTCAAAGAGAAACCTAAATTAGTATTATGTAAAATATGTAATAAGAATTTTAAAAAGACCGATACTATGGTGAGGCATTTAAATGTTCACAAAAGAGTCAATCCAAAGGAGGTTCTCTCGATCTTGAAGGAAATCAGAGAAAAGAGAAAGTTAGAGAATATACTCGAGCCTGAAATAAGTATCACTGAAGTCGAGAATAATAATGATGGAAAGGGAACGATAGAAAAGTGCGCAATTAACGAAAGTGCTACTCTAAATGCACTCACGAACGAAATCTTAGAATGTGAGAATAAGGAAACTAATGTTGAATATGTAGATAATAAAACTGAAAGTATTTGTTCTATAAATGAGGAACATTGTAGGAACAAGAAATCACTTAGAAAATGTTCACAACTTGATGTTAAGAAGAAATTCGTTTGCACAGTATGCAATATGAAATTTTATCGTCAAGATAGATTAAATAGTCATAAAAGTCGATACGGACATGACGACGATTCAGCTTCGTTAGAAGTGCAGAAGCCATTCGACGATAAATCGGCCATCAAATTAATAAATACTTGGATTAGAGAAGAACTGGATTCGGACAACGAAGAAAAAGGGTTCCCCTGTAAAACGTGTGGAAAGTCTTACGATACGAAGAAATCTTTATTCAAGCATCTGCAGAACGTGCATAATGAGAAATGCACGAAGTGTGGAAAAATCTGTACTTGCGACGAGAAAGAGAAAATTCAGCAGAAGCCGAACAAAAAATCGTATCGATGCGATAAATGCGACAAGTCTTTCGAAAACGAACTGAAATTGCAGAAACATCTAAGAATTCACGAGCGCGCTAAAGAACAGCAAGACGTAAATTTCAAAAGGTTTTTATGCCACATCTGTAGTAAAACCTTTCGACAAAATACAGGCCTTATGTTTCACATGCGAACACATACCGGATACAAGCCTCACGTTTGCAAATATTGCGGAAGAGGATTTACGTCGAATTCCAATTGCATTAATCACGAAAGGACTCATACCGGCGACAGGCCGTTCGTTTGCCATTTCTGTAGTGCAGCATTTGCCAAATCTTGTACTCTTAAAGCGCACATCACGACACACACTGGGGAGGCGAATTATCACTGTAAAACTTGCGGTAAATCGTTTCGGAGATTGAAGTACTTAAAGGAGCACGAGTTCACTCACACAGGAGAGAAGCCGTACGCTTGTAAAATCTGCGGCACTGCGTACAGCCACTCCGGTAGTTTATTCGTACATGAGAAAAAATGCAAAGCACAGTACAATACTTACCAACCTAACTCGACGCCGAACGCGCAAAGTTATTGTAATTCGGAAACATCGTCCCCAAACGTGACTCCTCTCATCACGGGCTTACCACAAACACATTTGAATAATATTAATGTATTGAACACGGAAAGCAGCAAGACTTATATCGATAATGTACAGAGATTAAATTCTCAGAATATCTCTAATGTAAATCCGATCAATGCGCCTGATTTACACACAAATTCGAATGCGGATATCCCCGATGTCTCTTTAGCTGTTAAGAACTTTGCTCTCATTGGGCAAATGTTTTAATCTTAGAACGTAGAATTAAAATGTTTCTGTGATAAACTTTCATTTCGCGAATATGTTCCGATTTCACGTGAAAGAAATATATCTCGCGTTAATGAAACGAAATAATGATAATTACGTGCGGATGTTTTTCTACCGCACCTTTTGACCTTATTTTATATATTTTATG